TGGCTTCTCTCAAAATTGCTCTCCAGCGAAGGCGCGAACGTAAAGGAAATTTGAAAGTGTCAATCTGGCGCTCGTCCTCACCCAAAGAGGGTCCAAAATCTCTGTTTTTTTTTTTCGACGATTCCGTAATAATCGAAGTTGCTATTAGTGTTCAGCGCACCAAAATGGCCCAGAGATGTAAGAGTTGGGAATTTATGGACACTGCCTTTAATCAGATGATACGAAATCGAAACCAATGTTTCCAATGTTTGTGCCCTCCTGGAGAGGTTTTGTGTAAGTATACCAATGTGGACAGAGAGTGGAAATTTGAGAACAATCGTGTTTCATGAGGAACCTATCCTTTTCAATACAACGTGAGAACTGAAATCATTAGAGTTGTAGGAAGATGAACCTGAAGTTCGGGAAGAAAGGAAGATATTTTCTGATATTAGCTGTTTTGGTCCGATAAATAGCCGGCGGGCTGATTATTACCAAATTTGCTTGAGTGTTGAATTCCATCTTCACATGGCAGTAATCACAAACATATTACGAACGCCCTTCTCTTTAGTAAAACACCCCCATATTTTAGTGAAAGAATTGAGACTTTTATCCGCGCCGATGGGTAGTATCTCGGATTTAAGCAGCTGGAGATAAGGAAGTTATACATGTATCTGACAGTGACAATTGGCATAATTTATGCCCAGAAGCGTATTCGTGTCGACCAGGAAACACCTTGTAAAGGACGGCAAACCAGAAATCAACGCTGAAACAACCACTATAGTGTCATCGCGGTCACCCCACCTTCCCACCTCAGGAAACAATAAGCGCTCACTTTTGCTTTTCGCTCACCTTCACTCGTTCAGCATATTACGCTCGTTATCCAATTCGTTGCATGCAGCCAGCCATCGAGCCTTTCCTGGATAGTCAGAATCCTAGGGAGCACACGCCACGCGCCGAAGGTTTGCTTTGCGCTAGAGCACGACACGTAATCGCACTCGTCCTCTTGCCGTCCTCATTTGCCTCATCCGCCTCCGTCCTCAGCTGTGCCGATGTCCTCCGTTTCCCTTGCACTCTCTCACATATTCGTGGGGCACTAGCCTTTCGACACATGCATTTCGTCCTTCTCTCATATCTTGTTTATTGTAAAGTGAGAGGAAAGTGATAGTGATTTCGTGAACTGTTTGACTCAAATTTTGCAATTAATCCACGTTTAATTCCGCTTTTCAATTTATTCTATAATAGCGTCAGATGTTTGGCTTTTTTCTGTGTCTGTGGATAGGGACAAATGAGACTAATTGAAAAGTAGCTATAAGTAAGAGGTTCCGATATTATTTGCTTTTTTATGTCCGTGTACCGTTCGATTGACCAACTTACTCCTTAGGGGGGCAGGCGTTATGGAGCAAAGGCTCGCCGCACTCCCCTGTGGCATATCCTGAAGACTTTACGCGCT